AAGTTGAGAAAGGGGAAACTAAAGACTTTGAAGTTAAGATAGATGGATGATATTTTATCAAGAGAAAGTTGTATACTAGATGACGATGAATTGAAGTGACAGCTTCATACAAAGGCACATTGTAGTCCTTTGAGTATGCATCCAGGATAATAAAATAAGATGTATCAAGACTTAAAGTATATTTTCCATGTTAAATCGAAACCATTGGATAAAAAATGGAAAGTTTGTAATTATAAAATTTTACAAGGGCAAAATTATTAATTACTAGCTCCATGGATTAAACATAGCCTTGGATGAATATTTTTTACATGTGGCATATTTAGGAGCATTAGATTTCAAGGGTAAAATAGCCATTTGGCATTAAAGTGGATTCTAAATTCATTGGTTATTAAAGATGAAAAATGGAAAAAATGAATGAATTATAAATTTCATGAATTTGTTCATCTTTTTCTTCAAGTTGCATGAGCTTTCAAGGTAAGAGAGAAAAATTTTCATTTGATTTTTCAAGTATTTTGGTTAAGATTTAAGTTGAAGCCATGAAGTACAATTTTGATATGTTTGAGTTCTTTTCAATTTGGTATCGTTAATATATGGTTTTGGTTGGTAAACATGGAATTTGAAGAAAAAAAGATTAGGATTTATGGATTCAATTGGATTAAGGCTTGGACTTGAAGGGTTCATTGTTATATAGCTTTTCCACGCTTGAATCAAGATAAATTTCATGGATAAGTTGATAAGGTTAGGTTGTGAAGAAGAAAATTAAGGAAAAATTATTCAAGCATGTTTTGATGTTTACCATGGAGGATTAAATGTTGTACAAGCTTTAGAATGTTGTTTGAAGCAAAAATTCAAGTGTGAACACACCTAGGGGTTTAGGGTTTGTGAAATTGAAGTGTTCATGTTGGTTGCCATCATCTAAGCTTTATTTTGATGGTAAAATTATTAAATTTGGAATTGAAATGTGAAAACCCCTAATTTAGTCCTTAAAACCCTAAGAGAGAGAAAAATGATATTTTAGTGAAATTTGGTATTCAAGGTTAATTTTAATTGTATGAAGTGTAATTAGTTTTGATTGAGTATCGAAGGAATTTTCAGAGAATTCCTTATATTTGTATGCATGGTTAGAATGTATTCTAACATATCTTTGATTTTAGTTGCTTTGTAATTGAAGTGTGTGAACCATAAGTTCAATCAGGTGAAGTGATTAACAAAGGAAATGATGATAACTCATATAAAGATTTTATGAAGACTACATTTTCTTGATGTTTAAAGTGTCGAGGTGAGTGCATGTTATAGTGTTTATGTTAAATGTAAACATTGACTTGGGATGATCTAATGACTGAGTTATTATGGTAAGAAGTGACTATTTAATTTTATGTGACTTTTTTATTCTTGCATTTAGGTTAAAATTGTATTTATAAGATTAATAGAATTATTGAACAAGCTAAAGATACAAAACTAATGAAATCTACCTAGATTTTATAATCTTAATAGTAGATTTGGAAAATCTTCATAAATTTTATAAAAACGATTAGAAGGTAATTATATTGTATTTGTATGTCAATCTAGTTTCATGTAAAACCAAAGGAGATTGATTTTCAATTATATTAGATATTAATTTTGATTGATGATAGTCAGAAACATGATAGCAACTTCTGCTAAAAATAGATTATGTAAGTTGGATTAGAAAATTCATCATAAATTGTACAAGTAAAACTAGAAAGAATGTTTCATATGGTTAGATTTTTATTCGAATCTAGTTTTTAATAGAATAAAGTTAGTTGAATTCCAATGTGTAGATTAATAAAGAATAATAATTCTTTAAGGGTAGCACAAGCTGACATAATAAAATGATGAGTAATGAATCATGCATTTTACGTTACCTTTATGTTATATGTTTTTTAAAAATTTCAAATGAGCTAATTATATATATTGGCATGATAATTATGATATTTATCGTATGGTGGACATGTTATTTACATGTCAAAAAGGAAAGTGATCAATGATATTTTCATGATATATTCATGTTAGGGTATGAACTGCCCATTGTGATGTTATATGAAAAGTTCAATATAATGCTATTTTTATTGATTTAAGAACAAGTGATAATTGATGGAAATGTCAATTTTATGTACATTGAGAGCCATTGGTATAGTTGGCATGCCATATAGGTGGAGAATTAGCAGCTGCATTGAGACATAATTGAGTGTTTATGGTACTATTATACTCTTAGGAATACAATACATAGTTTAGTGATAATGATAATATGATGTTCCTGATTATTGCTACTTTGATACAGTGTTGACGGTATGTACAAGTGACTGGCACTAAAAGTGCTTTCTCAGTGATATGCATACCTTGCATTCTCATTGTATACCTTGGTCTAGGACATAAAGAAATTTAAAAAGTGTCAGTTATGATAGATAACTGAGAAAGTTATACTTTTTATTTGTTATAAGTGATTTAGCATAACATACTTTATATTTAATTTGATGATTTCATGTATCTTGAATTAGAAATAACTCTGGTATAAGTTCATTTTATACATTTCTATAATCATGGGATATTGTTTTGTATTTTCATTATATTGTTTATTTTATATCATTCACATGTTTTATATTTTATCATTGATTATGCCTCACTAACTGTATACTTAGCGTGTGATGATTTTCACGCATAGGTAATCAGCAAAGATCAGTGTAAGGAGTATTTGACATCTTATCTATTAAGAAGCAAGTCTACAATATCAATAATGGCATCTATCTAATTTATTTGATTTTTTCTAGGTTACATGTATATGTGATAAGTATTTTCTATAATCTTTACTCAGACATAATTTGGAATAAGTTATAAGTTATCTTATGCTAGTAATGATGGACTTAGTTTGAATGTTGAATGATTAGAAATGTGTTTTATGTGATTAAATGAATTATGATTTAATGTTTAGCAATAATAGTTTTAAAGAAATAAATTTTTACCGGTTTTCAATAAGAAAAGTTTCGTAAGTTTCATGTGACATCTCTGACTCGTGTTCGATGATGGATACGGGAATGGGGTGTTACAATGTGAGGTCACAAACTTATGTAGGTAGGATTACCCCCGCAAGAAAATGTCAATGTACTCCTAGCCCAGGTACTTAGAAAATCATTCTTTTAGAGTAACATGTATTTTTTTGAACAAATAATACATGCAAGTTTTGGGGTTTTGATACCTCCGCTTAAGCAAGTCTCAAGGTATATTTCTTTTTATCCTTCGTTGTGTTGTCATAGCATGAGATGTCTCTACTGTACTATCATGTGGGGATGTCTCCCCTTTTGCCATAGTGACGAGCTGTGACTAGAAGCCACGACGGTTCAAAAATTATAATGTCAAAAAATTAAATTGTTTGAAAGTTTAGTGACAAAATTGATATATCTTAAAGTTTAATGTCCAAAACTACGTTATTCTGGGCATCGTTAATCGTTTTCAAAATAACATCGTTTTGTCTATGTCGTCACATTGATATAAATATATGTTCATGTCATCGTGCTGTTAAATTTTAGCGGGCCATTGGAATAATTGAAACAAAAATCAATGTTTCATGTTATAATTAACAAAATTGAAAGTTTAATAGTATAAATTATACAACACCTAAAGTTCAATGATATTTAATGTAGTTTAACGATTTTTTAATAACGCATGAACAATAAAAAAATCAGATCAGAATGGAATATAGCCATGAAGAAACCAATGTGGTTGATGAATTGTGTTGACCGAAATTAAGTACAACGTTGGAAGGCAAATCCTTTTCATTAATATAGAGAGAGGCCGTTTAACATCCAATGGTGTATGTGTTTGTATTAGATTAGTAATATATAACCCGTTAGGAGTGAGTAAAATTCGATTCAGCTCGAAAAAAATGATCTTTTTGATTCAGCTTGACTCAACTCAATTAATTTTAATTTGTAATTTTATAAATTAGACTCGACTAAAAAAATCAAATTCAAGTGAAGTTATAATATAGAACTCGAATAACTCAAATAGTAACTTGTTTAATAATTAATAAATTAAATTTTAAGTTTGAGTTGAATTCCTTCACTATATATATATATATATATATATATATATATATATCACATATTAAGAAATATATATGTTTTTATATGGTTATAGAAATATGCTTAAATTGTAATCAATTAATATCATACTATTATATTATTATAATTAAATTTAAACAGAACTCGAATAACTCGAATCGACTTAAAAAAATTCAAATCAAATTTTAAATTACAAAATATGATTCATTAATAAACTTTAACTATGAAAGCTAACGCCTATAAGCTGATTCAAAGAATAATCATTTTAGGATTAAGGATTTTTAATTACAAATGGCATTACCCTGGCCTCTCAGTTACACTTTTCAAGATCTCGCCCACAAACCTCTCCAAACCCACAGAAACACATATACGTTACTAATACCCCTTCCCTCTCCCCTCTCCCTCTCCTCTAAAACCACTGCACCCCTTGTTTTCCTTTACTCTCCCTTCTCAACGGTTGTTTCACTTCCCCTAAATTACCATTACACCCCTTTTTAATTAAATATTATTTTTACAACTTTTTAATAATTAAAAAATAATCTCTTTATTTGAGCATTCTGACATGCTTCCACTGTTGGATTGAATGTTAATAGTGTGGGTTCTTTAATGACAACATTGGACTATGTACTGCATACAAATCTTTCTTCCTACAAAGAAAAAAGATGCAAATTTGGTCATCTACTCTCATATAAAACCAATTCCACAAGTTAAGAGATAAAAAAACAACTCAAAATTCCACAAAGTTGCTAAATCTACTTTTGTACAAATTAATTCCACAAGTTAAGTGGACATTATGTTTTTATTTTTTTAAAATGGCACCCCTGTAATCATTGTAAAACTCAGGGTCAAATAGTCATTCTTTGTACCTATATATGTTAAGGTATCGCTTGCCAAAGTTGAATAACAAATTCTTGACAGAGTAAACCAGAGTGCCAAAATGCAATTCACACACAGTCTAGTTTCTAACAAAACTCTGCCATGGATGCCAGGTGTCCACTGCCGCCGCATTCCTCCACCAACCTCCACTGTCAGATTCTCCCCAATTTCCGCCGTGGCGGCAGCTCCTCAAAAACCTCAAAAAACCCACTCAATGCCACCGGAAAAGCAAGAAATTTTCAAGTCACTAGAAAGCTGGGCGACCCAAAATGTGCTACCACTGCTGAAACCGGTGAAAGAGTGTTGGCAACCCCAGAGCTTTTTACCGGACCCTTCATTGCCGGTGGAAGAGTTCAACGAGCAAGTGAAGGCCCTGAGAGAACGCACGGCGGATCTTCCCGACGAGTACTTTGTGGTGCTGGTGGGGGATATGATCACAGAGGAAGCCTTGCCAACGTACCAGACCATGATCAATACGCTCGATGGAGTGCGCGATGAGACGGGGGCGAGCTCTAGCCCCTGGGCCATCTGGACTCGGGCTTGGACTGCCGAGGAGAATAGGCACGGTGATTTATTGAAGACTTTTTTGTATCTGTCCGGGAGGGTTGACATGCTTATGATAGAGAGGACCGTGCAGTACTTAATCGGATCCGGCATGGTCAGTTCCTCGTCACTTTTCCGATGTTATGATATGGTATTCTTAGACGTTATTTGTGAGTGAAAAAGGGTAGAATTGGTTTTGTTTCAACAGGATCCTGGAACCGAGAACAATCCATACTTGGGATTCGTGTACACGTCGTTCCAAGAGCGAGCGACGTTCGTATCCCACGGTAACACGGCTCGGTTGGCCAAGGAAGGCGGGGACCCAGTCCTGGCACGCATCTGTGGCACCATCGCAGCGGACGAAAAGCGGCACGAGCTGGCTTACTGTAAGATCGTGGAGAAGCTGCTCCAAGTAGACCCCACGGGTGCAATGCTAGCTATCGCCGATATGATGAAGAAGAAGATAACAATGCCGGCTCACTTGATGTTCGACGGCCAAGACCGGAAGCTGTTTGAGCACTTCTCGGCGGTGGCGCAGCGGTTGGGAGTGTACACGGCGGACGATTATGCTGACATATTAGAGGCGCTGATCCAACGGTGGGGGTTGGAGAAGAGGGAGGGGTTGAGCGGTGAAGGGAGGAGAGGGCAGGATTCGTGTGTGGGTTAGCGCCGAGGATTAGGAAGCTACAAGAGAGGGCTGAAGAGAGGGCTAAGAAGATTGGACCTCACGGGGTGAAGTTTAGTTGGATCTTCGACAAGGAGATTTCTTTGAAAAGCTAGTGTTTTTGGACCTTTCGGTTTCTTCATTCCCATCTTTTGCCCTTTGAATAGCTAATTTGGGTAACCAAAAAACAAAGTTTATCACTCGCTTAAACCGGAAAATAAATGACGTCGAAGTTTTCCCTTTTTCTTTAAAGTATCTTTTATTAATATCTATTATAATTTGTAATCATTAACAATATATACACGGAACTTTAAAATAGGCCGAAGTCCACAACTAGGAGCCCACAGCCCACTCAGAGGCGAGAAAACCAGGTTAAAAGAATCCACTAAGCAAAGATCCCTAAACCAGGAAGCGAAGAAAATTAAGGCAACTGAAAGGACAACATGCTTCTCCATTGGTCTGCTCTAATTACAATTAATTCGTTTACCATATGAGTGCTCCACTAATAATATGCAACAAGGCTCGTCATAAAAAATACTTCTTCCTTCCCATGTAAAATCAGGGATAGTCAATGAGAATCAAGACACTGGCGAGGGGAGGAAAAAAAGTAACGAATCGGATAGTGGATACATCAAGGACAGGCGAGGGTGATCCCAAACCACAACTCGCACAAAAGCAACTTGTGTTTATAGGGGTATTCAAATTTGGGTACCCAAGTTCCGGGTACCGGATCTTCGGGTATTTGCTTTTTTAGCCAGTGTCCGACTCGGATATTATTGGTATCCGGATTTACGGGTACTTATTTATCATTTTCAAATTATTATTTTTAAATAAACTTATATTATTAAAAAATATTATATTAATGATTAAACATACAATTATTAGGTGGGTGTTTTTTTAACTTTATTAGTTTAATTAATATATAGAATTATTAATAATTAATATATAATATTATAGGTGTTTTTACTTCCAGAAAAAATATTAACATGACACACATGAGAATGCGTGTTTCAGTGGTTTCTTACTATATCAAATTCCCTAAAAGCATATTTAAAAAATATATATTTTAAAAAAAATTAAAAAATTATAGAAACCAACAATGTAATTTAATACATATTAATTTCATGAGTTGAAGAGTCTATTGTATTAGTTTATATAGGCATATTGAAGTGTTTAGGTTATGTTTCTTGACAATGTGGGATAGAAGCTAAAATGAGTATTCCTGAACTTTTTTATATTATCTCTATATCTAATGAATCCACTCGTATATTATTGTCAAATTCCAATAAGTTAATATTTATTGTTAAGGTTTATTAATTAAAATTAGATATTTTTTAAATGTTAATATATTTAAATACTTATTTTTTTTAATTATGAGTTCAAAAAATTTATGTAACACAAATTAAAAATATTTCATCGGCACATGCTAATACCGATAAGTAGTTCTTAAGATTATCCATCAATAATAAGACATTATAGTTCACACTCATAATTGTAGCAGTTAATAATTTTAGACTTCCATAAAAGAGTTTAAAAAATTATCATGTTTCATTAGTAAAATCTAATCCTTTTTTGTGATAATTGTGATTTTCAATGGTTCAATTTTTGATACATGCTAACCAAGAAGTTTAAAGAGAGGACATCTACAAGATCTTGTATCACGAATGCATCAATGTGATTTTCTTTTGTGACATTTTCACATAAGCATTTTTGCATCTTAAATATGATTCAATTATTTATTTCAATTAAGCGTTAAATTGAGATATTGGAATAACATGTGGGCAAGTAAAAGTTTATCATGACATTCTTTTATTGAGTTAATTGTTTTCTTTATGTCGAGCTTTATTCAATATTGCATGTCGATGCCTTAGGTCAGTTCTGCTTGTGTATTGAAGTTTGCTTCATTTTCTAGTGCCTATATCAATAGTTGATAATTGTATATTTCAAATGTCATTGTAGATATATATATATTTTTTATGCAAAGCGCCATTAACTAAATGTCTTGACTAGCTACTAATCATCACATTGATTTTGTAAGAGAAAATAACCTCAGTGACAAAAAATCCCTTATAATATACGATTTTAACCAACTTTTTCCGGATTTGCCAAAATGACCAACAAAATCGCAATGCGATCGCTAATTCGCAACGCGATCTCCATTATCGCAAATTCGCGTTGCATTTTCGCAATGCGATAGTTGAAAATCGCGTTGCGATGGTCTACAGTATCGTTGCGATTTTCCCAATTCGCAATGCGAATAAGTAAATCGCAACGCGAATTGGGAAAATCGCAATGCGATACTGACTATCGCAATGCGATAATAAAAAATCGCAACGAGATACTTACTTTCGCAACGCGATACTGACTTTCGCAACGCGATAATACATAATCGCAATGCGATTTTCAAAGCGCCATTAGTATCCTGGCCAAGTATTTTATTTTTAAATTCCAAATGAATTAATATATTTGGAACACTGAACTGTCCACAGTATATCCCGTAATCGCAACTCATAACCTAAAACCTAAAATCACAACTCAGTCCCATCTCCATCTCTCACTCTCTCACCCATCTCCGACGAAATCCGTCCCCATCTCCGGCGAAATCCGTCTATCTCCATCTCTCAGAGCCACCCTCACAATCAGAAATGGAAAATCAACCAAATCAACCAACGAGGGTTAGTTTTTTAATTATTTTCTTTTGAAATTTTTGCATTATTATTAGGTTTTCATATTGAAATTGATGATAAGTTTACTGGTAATTTCAATAATAGATTAACCATTTCACTTAGATTGCTTATTAAATCAACCAAGAATCGCAACACGAAATGCAAATCGCAACGCGATTTTAGTTTCGCGTTGCGATTCTCTCGTTGCAATAGTCATTTTCGTGTTGCGATTTTCATTTTCAGAAACTATTCTTCTTCTGCAAATTGAAACTTGAATGAATTGCATTACTTCAACCAAAAAACAAAGACAAATACGAAATTCACAGTGTTGCATATTTAAGTTTGAAGAATAAACTACTACTATTTATGTTTATTATTGTTTTTGGTATATCTTCACAGTGTAGTTTTTGGTATATCTAATTTAGTATGTTTATTGTTTTTGTAGAACTTTTATTCAGCTCAATTGACCTTGAGAAATAAAGTCAGCATGGCCAAAACAATTGCGTCAAAGCTTTCACCTGCACAAAGAAAAATGTTTGAGGATACATGCTTCGGGCCATGGCTGAAAGTACAACATCCCGGTGGAGATGCGATGTTGACACACCTGTTTCTTCAAACCATGACTAGCGATCTACCAGAGACTATACAACGTCGTGATGAAGAGATATGGTTTGATTTTCCACCGGTGTATACGTGTTTTGGGCGGGAGGAGTTTTGCTTAATCACCGGTCTACGCTTCGGACACGATGATGTAGGTCGGTACACTAGACACATTACCCGCCCATCATGGCTATCCCGGATTTTTCCTGAGCTGGAGAGGCCGAGTCTACACGTAGAAGACCTGACAGGATTTTTGAATAATAAAGATGGTTTTACTCGGATGGATGACGTCGACGTTGTCCGAGTATGCCTTCTAATTCTTTTGCATGCCGGCTTTTTAGGCAGAGAGGCCAGACAACCTATTCCAAATGATCTAATCAAATTGGTAGAAGACCTAAATGCGTGGAACCTGTTTCCGTGGGGCTCGTATTTATGTAAAGCTACATGGAATAAGTTATCGTCTGCCTTGGATGATCGAAAAAGTTTGCATGGCGATGGTTCCAAATACACTTTGACAGGCTTTATTTGGGCCTTTAAGGTAAGAATTTTTATATGATGTTTCCAAAATTATAAGTAATTATTTAACAATTACTAATGTTTGTTATTATATTGTTTGTAGATTTGGATATTTGAGGCCTTTCCCGCCATGAAGACATATGCAATAAAAACTTCAAATGATATTCCCAGGGCTATTTCCTGGAAGAGGAAACGGACCTTGCAATGAGAAGATTTACTATGGTATACGACAATAAATAATGTAAGTTAACATAAATACTACCATATGTTTATAAACAAGTTATTACTAGTACACGTTTAACTTTGTTTGAGCTTTTATATTGTTAGGAGGCCAACACTCCTCTACAGAGGCTGACACCCACGGAAGCTGAGCTTGCCACTGATTGGTGGCAAGCTAGTAAGCGTTTTTTTGATGGAACGGTTGATGAGCAGCCTCCACTTCGGGAGCCATCACCTCGCCCAGAGCTATCACCTCACCCAGAGCCATCATCTGATCGACCCGGCTATACACATCCACAACGACAGCCATCACCTATTCTGTCACATCATCGAGCCTCTTCTCCACCATCACCGCAAGATAGGCGACCGGCAAAGATGCCACGACGTTTATCTCCCTGTTCTCCACCTCCACCTCAATGGGATGAGTTAGGGGAGTTACGTGATGAGGTCAATGCCTTGCGTGAGGAGGTCGGTACTTTACGCAAAGACGATGGTGCATGGCGTGTTGAGGTGTCTACATTACGCGGTGAGGTAGCCGCTCTACGTGAGATGGTAGTATCGTTGTAGAATGAGGTTCATACTCTACGCAACGAGGTAAGTTTAAGATTTTTCATACTCGTAATTCATTCGGTTGCTGCCAATACTGCTAAACTGTTTTTGTTAGTATTTGTTTTTGGTTTTGTTTTGTCTTTGGTTGAAGTAATGCAATCCATTCAAGTTTCAATTTGCAGAAGAAGAATAGTTTACTTTCGCAACACGAAAATGACTATCGCAACGCGGAAATGGCTATCGCAATGCGAATGAAAATCGCAACGACAAAATCGCAATGCGAAATGAAATCGCAACGACAAAATCGCAACGCGAAATGAAAATCGCAATGCGATTTGTGTTTCGCGTTGCGATTTTGTCGTTGTGATTTCATTTCGCGTTGCGATTTTGTCGTTGCGATTTTTATTTCGCATTGCGATAGCCATTTCCGCGTTGCGATAGTCATTTCGCGTTGCGATTTTAAGTTTCGTGTTGCGAAAGTAAACTATTCTTCTTCTGGAATGTTATATATGTTGTCCTTTTAAATATTTACATAAGTGCTTACTTCTGGAATGTTATCTGAGCATTTTGTGAACTATGAT